GTTGTCATAATTGTAATAAATTAATACCATTCAAAATTACATAATGAAGCACTAAATACCTTAATAAGAAATTAAGACGTCATATATATCGGGAGGTGGCACATCTGGATAAAATGTTTTTAGGCTATAACATTACAAGTTACAGCTCTTTTCTATGTATCCAGATGACTTTGTTGACTTTGCCCCCTTAAAGGTGGAGGTCTAAGAAAAAATAATAGTTGAGGGGGGTAGATGTAATTATCCAAACAAGAGGGGGGTTTTTGTAATTTGACCATACCTCAGGGGGGTGTTTGTAATTTACCCTTAAAATTATGTCATGCAATTTTTTTTCTTCGTTGCACCAAAATTGGAATAGATAGGAGTCACATTTTTTTATATGATTTTAATTCTCAAAAATAATTAAAAAAATTAAAAAAATCAGAAAATTTGTAAATATTATTATATAATTTATATTATATGTAAATAAAATATAGAATTTTCAAATTCTACTAATATTTACTAGTTTTTGTTTCGAAATTGTCGATTGAAACAAGTTCTATTATTTCGACTAATCCGATTTTTTTTAATAATAGAATTATAATTAATTTCCCATAAGTGCAAATTCGGATTATATCCGATTTTTTTTAATTTTTTATTTTTTGAGGAGGAAAAAAAATAAAAAAAGTTAATTGGTAATGAATATTTTGTAGGCAAACAAACTAATTTAATCCACGCAGCAAAACCCCCCCCTCTTCCAAAAACCCTAATTTCAATCTGCCTCTCTCTTTCAACCCCACTCCCTCTGTATATTTCAATCGATACTGAAAGTAGGGAGATATGGCTGCTGATGATTCACTGAAGAAATTAAGAAGGAAGAAAAACCCCTTGAAGAAGAAGATAGGAGAAGAAGCGAATTCGGAGTTGAGGAGCTCTCATCCTGAAAAAAAAGGTGCTTATTTCTTTTCCGTTAATTTCTGTATATTTTTTTTTCTTCTGGAATGAATTTTTTTAGTTGTTATTCATTTGAAAGAGTTCACATTTATCTCAAGATTTATTTTTTCTGTATATATTCAGCGCAGCTGGTCTATATATAGAAAATTCGAAGAGAAAGTTGTGATTTTACGTCATGAATTTAGAGAGAGATTATGTATGAGTGTGTGTGTGTGTGTGAGAGAGAGAGAGAGAGAGAGAGAGAGAGAGAGAGAGAGAGAGAGAGAGAGAGAGAGAGAGAGAGAGAGAGATAGAGAGAGAGAGAGAGAGAGAGAGAGAGATAGAGAGTTGGTTTGTGGGGGTGAAATTTCTGGATTCATTCGACTATAGGGTGTGTTCGAGGTTATGTTAACCACATTATTTGGGATGGTGATTGATTTATTTTCGATTCCAATTAAAGTACGAGAATTAAGTTTTACCGGAGATCGCGTTCTTAACAACTAAAAGACTAGAACTAAACCTCCTTCTAATTGTTGTAAAATCTGTACTCGAATGTCGTGGTTTTTACTTCCTTCCATTTTCCTGCCATTTAATTTTTTCGTCTACTACTAATCAAGTGTTTTCCCTTGTAGAAACAAACTCTTACAGAGCTAACGAGGAAAACAAGAAGAATAAGAATAAGAAGAAGAAGAAGAACTCGCCATTGAATATTGCCAACGAAGTCGATTCCAAAGGTAGGCTAAACACATGGATATTTCAGTAATAATCATTATTCGTTTCTATATTTACAGTAACCCTTTATGATGATATCAATAGATGAAGTAGACGACGTAAGTGGAGGAAATAAAAAGAGTAAGAAGTTGAGAAATAACAAGAGGAAGAAGACTGAGGAATTGGTTGCAGAGCCAAGTAATGAAGTTGAAGATGGAATTTCTAGTGAAAAATACGTTGAAAGTGAAATAGCAGAGGAAGATAAATTGCAGAAGAAATCAAGGAAAAAAAAGAGAATCAATAATGGTGATGAGGTCAGCAAAAAAGACGATGCATCTGAAAAACAAAATGGTATTTAAAATGAAAAGACAATCATTGTTATCAGAGTATATATTTTAGTTTATCTTCTGATGCTTCAATACTTGTATTTGGAAAATTAAATTATGGAATTATTTGTTCGATAGGCAAGTCGAAAAAGGCTGGAAAAAGAAAACAGAGAAGTCGGGCGGTGGCGAATGAATTGTCTGTAGATAGTTTGCCGGAAAAGGCAGATGCGGAAGATGAAGTTTACGAGATGTCATCAGGGGATGAAGATCACTCGAAAGGAATGAAAAGTATGATTCTTTTATAAGAACACCTTTTTTTTTTAATGTTATGCATTTTATATTGCTTGTACCACTCGAGAGAATACACGTCTATATAAAAATTTCAATGTGATATGTTTTATTCTTCGAGGTTATCTTATTTGGTTTCACATTCTTGAATTCAATGTCTTAATCAATAAAGCGTCATTTAGTTCAACCAGCTTGAACAATTAATCTTGGTTTTGCGTTTGTATCAACATAAATTAAATTTTAGCCAATTTTGTTAAATCATTTCGAATTTTGAAAAAAATGTATATTACAGTAAAATGCTGTTTTGATTTTTTTTGCTTTTTTTTTTAAACCAGTTTAAAATTTTTGTCTTTTATTCAGAATGGATAATGCAATACCATCAGAGTAGACCTGGGCTCGAGGTGCTGCAAGAAAGAATTGACGATTTCATAGTTGCTCACGAGGCAAAGGAGGAGCAGGTAATTAGGGCTAACTTATATCTTATAATTTTTAAATACGCAGCAAAAAAAATTCACCGTTAAATCAATTTTTTTTAATTCTTTCCTAATTTTGTGCAGGCAAAATTAGAGAGAGAAGCTAAAGCTGCAGAAGGTGGATGGACAGTTGTTGTACATCACAAAGGTCGTAAAAAGACAACCGAGGATGAAACTGGAGTTGCTGTGGGGTCCGTTGCACAAGCTGCTGTTCTTGATAAAATGGCTAAGAAGAAGAATAAAGAAGTTGGTCTCGATTTCTACCGATTTCAGAAAAGGGAAGCTCAAAGAAATGGTATGTGGTAATAATTCAATAGCAAATTGTTTTTACTTCATTTTTCAATAACCTTGATGGGCGTACTTAGGGGTGGAAATCGGACGGACTGCATCAAAGTTAGCATTTTTTGGGAAAAAAATCCAATTTTCTTCGGAAATGAAAAATTAATTCCAATTCCGTTTTGATTATTTTTATTTGGAAAATTGGAATGAAAACCCTCGTTCGAAAATCAGAATTTTTTGGATTCGAATTAGCAGGTTTCAGATTTTCTTATTTTCAGTTACTATATAATACATGATTAAATTGATATATAAAGTGAAGTTTTTGGGAAAAAAAAAATCGGAATTTTCGGAAATTAAAACTGATCGGGATTAGAAGCTAAATATGTATTCCAATTCCGTTCCTAATAAATCCGAAAATTCTGAAATCAGAACTTTTGGAATTCATAATGAAAATATTATTTCAAAATAAAAAATATTCGGATAAGAATTGGCGAAATTTCGTACCAATTTCCACCCCTAGCGGACACTCCATTATATGGTTATTTTATTATTCTCTGCTCGTTTTATATTGAAATAGTCACCGAATGTTCGTTGTTGTATGCAGAGGTGATGATGCTGCAGAGCAAATTCGAGGAGGATAAGAAACGGATACAGCAATTGAGAGCTGCAAGGAAATTCCGCCCCTATTGATTGCCTTTGTAAGTATTTTAAAACAATTTAAAATAACTTTTGTTTTTCTTTCACAAGTCGAGGGCTCCACGTGAAAGCGCACCAGGAGGTCGATCCAATTTTTGATATTTCTACACTTTTATTTAAAGATGAATTCAGTTGTTGTAGGTGTGAAATTGTAATTTCAATTGGGTTTTAGCAGACATCAATTAAGAGGTATATCTTAGCAGCTTCAGTCTGCTTTACAAATTTCTCGATGCTCGATCAATTAATAACCTTGCTTAAATAATATTTTTTACCGGTCCTCACTCTCGTTGTGAACGTACGTATGAAATTATTAATTCGATAATTTATATTTTGCTACACTTTTACACTTTTTTTTATATATAACTGCAAATTGATCAAACATTAGACAATAAACAGTTCAGGCATGTATAATTAAATTAAAAACTACAAATAAATTAAAGCCTCAAACAAAAAAAAAAAATTGCTTATTAATCGAAAAGAGACGACAATATTTTGTTTTGCTGTTCTCTTTATGAACTATGTACATTCGAACTCTGTCATTTTTACGACTTCGTCATCATCTATATATTTCAAGAAATGATCCTCCTCACCAACTCCTTCCTGCACATATAAAAAAGAACCCGAAAATTTAGCAATCTAACCCCGGAATTAAACTTAATCGAATCGCTAAAAAAACGAGATTCTATATAATTTTTATTACCTCATGAGTTGTCTGTCAAGAGAAGAAGTAGACAGAAGACCTCTATTCTCCTCAGCCCTCCTCAAAAGATAAGGCATAATTTGCTCCACAGGTCCAAACGGGACGTATTTACTAACCTTAAAACCCGCATTTCTCAGACCAAACGAAAGCGCTTGTGCCATTCCGTACAGCTGAGCAAATTCGAGGTTTTCGTTGTCCTTTTCTAGCCCTAATTCAACTGCTTTAGCAGCTGCCAATTTGCCTGCCCGAAAAAAAAAAAATAAAAAAAATAAAAAGCATCACCAACTTGTCATCAATGATTGAAGATAACAAGGTAAGCTTCCAAGATTTCTATTTATTTGAATTTATTGCGTTCGATACCCCTATGTTATATCGAATTGCTGTAAAACTCCTCGTGTTATAAATATATTAGCGAAAAAACCCTATAATGCATTTATGTAGTGCACAACCCCGCTAAACGATGCATTTTTTAGAGGCAGTTTACTATTAGAGTAGAGGTCTAGGCTTCGAATCCTGCCCCGCCCCTACTTCCCCGGTATATATCACATACTTAAAAAAAAATTACCCGATTCAATATTGTGGGTAGCAAGAACCAAAGAACCGGAGCCCTTAGCAATCTCCTCGAGCATAAAAGAAGCGCAACTATTGAAGCAAGCATGAGTATCTTGTATAGTCTCGTGGATGGGGGACTCGGCCCCCACGAAGAATGCCAATTTCCTCTCGCTCGACATGTAGGCCCCCCTAACCAACTTAACCCCCAGCGGGACCCCCATTTTGTTGGCGGATATCTTCGCAATCACGAGCCTCTCTCTCGCGTCCTTGAGATACGCTTGGATCGTGTTGAAGATCAAAGGGATGTTGTGGGCCCTACGGTACTTAATTGCGGCACAGTACGCGAAATAGTCGATCGCGGGTTGGATTAGTGTGTCCTCTGCATCGATTAGCATGGGGAGATTTGCTTCCAAGCTTTTATCGCAAATCTTGACTAGTCTTTTGTAGGCTAGATCGAGATCGTTTTCTTCTTTTGGGGTTAGTGGTGGTGGCATTTGTGGCGTGTGATAAAGTGCGGTTGAATCGGAGAAAATCGGGAAACTTTCGCGCTTCCACGGGAGATGCATTGACTTGTCCTTGTGCTCCCATCTTAGTAGATCACTCACTCTCTTGAGCAAACTTGGAGGGCAAATTGCTGTAATCTTCACCACTACAAAGCTAACCTGCACATATATAGGAAATACATATATATACCTTTAGGCCTCGTTTGGCACGACGAAAAATTGTTGTAATCTCACTTAAAATAAACTGGTTTAAGCTATAAAATTTCTAAAGCATCAACTTTTCTAGTTTAAAAGCACTTTTATTAATCAATGAACATTGCAACTGGTCGTATTATTATTTTTATTATCTAAAACTACTTTATTAAAATATTTTTGAGTACTTTCCAAAAATAAGTTGAAAATTATAACTTATTTGCAAACAGTACATTTAAATTACTCCCCTGTCCAGCAATATTTGTCGTTTTGGGTTGGTATGCACAAATGAAGGAAACAAATGAATATGCATGGATGGATTAATATCCAAGATTACTAAAACGCCCTTGTTATTAATTGATCATCTAGTAAGATGGTGTTTGTAAAATCTTACTTAAAAACAGAAGTAATGGATTGTGAGTTAAGTTGATTTTAATTGTTTATTTCTAAAAATTGGGGGTATCTGCGAATTTACTGAAAAATAAACTTAAATTAAAAAAAAAACTAGGTTATGGGTGCATAACAAATTATAGCTTAAAGTTACTTATTTTAACATAATCAAAAATAAAAATTCATTTTTGAAACACTTAAAAATAGGTTATATATAAGAAGAAAAAAAACTCATAATCTATTTATAATTTTTTTTTCAAACACCACCTAATTATCTTTCAATTAATTAAAAAAACTGATAAAGCACATAACTGATTTAAAAAAAAAAATTAATGCGTCTTTGGAGTTCTACGGTGTCAGATAATTTGAAAAGAATTCCAAAGTGACAAATATTTTGGGACACACGGAAGCAATTATTTCAAGATTTTCTTATGATCCACCATACGTGATCGAATGCATCAATACGATATTCGAAATTAGTTTAGTATTTTTGGAATATCGAGAAATTTTAAACTTACGGGTGAAGTTGGCGAGTGAGTGGCCGATTGAATCGTTTGAATGAACTCGTCCAAATTCGAGTCGCACGACCCGTTATCGAGGGCGTGCTCCATTCCGTAATCGAGCATTGCCCTAAGCCCGTAATCATCCCATATTCTCTTCACGGTGTTGTCGGCCTCCTTCAAATCTTTCCCGCCACAGAAATGCTCGTAAAACGTGTGCTTAATCGAACCCAAAACCAACCCCTTCGAAATCGGGTTTTGCATCAAACCCGATTTCAACACCCACGAACCCATATCCACCATGCTATCCATCGACGCCATGTGTAGAGTCACCGTCGATTTTATCAGCTTCGAAGTCGGAACCGACGAGAATAATTCCCTCGGATCGTCGAGGTTGATCGGAGGTTCGCCGCCGGCGACGGCGGCGCCGCCGCCGGAGCCGCCGCCGGAGCCGGCGGTGGTCGGGTCAATCGATTTGACCGGTGGAAGCTCCTCAGGATCATCGAGGCTGACCGGAGTTTTGGGGATTTTGATGAAATTCGGCTGCGGGACGGCGGCGGTGATGAACGGAGGTGCGGCGGTGTTCAGGCGGATCGTGACTGTTGACGAGAACAGATCCGTTGGATCATCGGCTGTTGATTTGGTGTCGAAGGGGTTGGGATCTCCGGTGAAATTCGCCTGCGGCACGGTGGCGGCGGCGGCGGTGGTTGACGGAGATGCGGCGGTGTTCAGGCGGCGGGAGAAAACGGGAAGATTCAGTAGTAGCTTTGAATGACCGATACGGCTGGCCATATAAATGTGATCAACCGAGCCTAATGACGATTAGCAAAAATTATGTGGGATTAGTGTATATATAATGAGGTGATTAATTAGTGCTTAAGTGTGTTTAGGAAGAACGGTAATATTTCTTTTTATTTATTTATATTACTTTATTTTAATATTTTCTAAGAGAAACATTCGGTCGATAGTCACCGCATGTATTTAGAATCTTTAGTGAACGTAAGAAATTGTTTGGCTAAATTTATCAGCTATTATAAATAGATTATAAGCTCTTTTAATGTGTTCGTAATTTTCTCAAAAAAAAAAACAAATTCAATGTAGAGTGTTTAAGATTGTTTTTAAAAAAATATCTTACAATGAATAATAGTTTATAAGTTCATTATTCAAATACTTTAAAAATTAATTCTGAAAATAAAACGTAACAACTTATCGACTTTTAAAACAGTTTATTAGACGTAATAACTTATCAGCTGTTTAAAATTAATATAGCCAAACAAGCCTCTAAGACAAGTGACTAGTGAGTGTTATGTCCTAAATCAAGTTATTATATTTTAGTTTTAAACAAAAATACAATATGAGAAGTTCTCCTTGAATCACTCTTTTACAAGGTAAAAAACCATTGAATCCACACAAATCCGTTGAACATGGGAGTGAGGTGTATTATCTAAGTATTTAATTAATGAAATTAAAAAGAAAAGTTGTTATGGAAGTTAGTTTTTTTATTTTCTTAAAGGAATCTACGGAGAAATTTTTTGCGCAGTGCATATTACCGTTACCGTTACCGTTTTCATTTTAAATACATGTAATAAAAAAGTTCAAAAATAAATTCTCGAAAGTCTTCAAAACAAAACCAATTTCAAATATAATTTGATTACTAGTTACTACACTAATAAAATAAATGTCTTCATTAAATAGAAATATAAAAAAAATTCGTATTTAATAGCATCAAATGTCACCCCCTAAAGAAATTAATGTACGTGGCCCCCACGGAGTTTAAATCTTGGTTCCGCTAATGACTCTGTCACACAGTTTCCTTTTAACATTGAAGATTATATTTGAAAAAAAAAGGTCTATATAACTTAGTTTGATGGTTAATTTAGTTATAGAATTTCTTTTTCACAACCTAATATTTTGGTGTATCCCATAATCCTTGAAGTTTGAAAGTTTGTAGAATCTTTTATTTTGATTTTAATTTTGATTTTGATTTTGATTTTGATTTTCTAGTTGAATATAAATAAAAAAATTAAATCCCATATGGGATTATTAATGAAAATAAATAAAATATTATGGAAATACTAATTATCATAGTATATTTGCAATTAAAGTGCAATTGCTTTAGTGCACCTAAACATTGATTTGAAAAAAAATTAGTCTTGCATTTGGATTTGAGGAAGATATTTGACATTCGTAATAACAAATTTATCGGACTTATCTAGACTGAGTCACGGCGAATTTCAAAATATTACTATTTAATCAATTGTGTAAGTTCACTTGTAGAGTCATTTCAAATCATTCCCATTTACAATTATTTTAAATCTTTGTATTTCAACTTTCGCAATTCAAATTAATCTCGGCACGTGGTTTTATGATTCTTGATAAATAGAATGATGGCAAAATTTTAGTACTTACCCAACATTTATCCGGTAATTTAAGTAAGATTTTTTTTTTCAAGCCAAAGGAAAAACCCTGATTATAATGTTAGAGACCGCTTCACCAATAACATTGTAAATCGGGGATATGCACGATTAACAGGAGTTCTGAGAAAGCGAACCAATAATATACAAAACACAAGACAAAACCCCCCAATATTTAAGTGAAAATTTACTACACACAAATTCGAATGCGCACTGCCGGGGAATGTTTCTCGCACCACTTCAACTCTTACGAGTTACGATCGCTACATGTTTCGATTACGCTAAAGTTTCGGTGAAAATCAACTATCTTTTAAAGTCTCTATGGACTTTGATTGTCTTCAATGGGCATCAATTATTTAGTTATTGAGCTTTAAACGTATTGTGCTCACATTATTTATCTAAAAAATAATAAAACTTGAAATTACTAGGGGGTAAAGTGTGAACGTTTCAGAAACAAAGGGGGCGGATATGTAATTCACCAAGCTTTACAGAGTCACAATTGCAAATTACGAATATTCTCTGGGAACAAGAAATTGCATTAAAACAACGCTACCTGGAATATGAAGACCCATAATCCTCTGCATACTATCCCAGTTCGATCCTTTGAAGCACAATATTTCATATTCTGCAGAAACCCAAATTTTCTACAAGTCAAGGAAAAAAATTAATCGCATTTCGGAAACACGAGATTTAAGTTCGCAGGTACGACATTGATTCTGGTAATTACGGATGAATTTTGATCCAAATGTTGTTAATCTGGGAGTTGAATTTTAGTTTTTATGCAGAAAATACAGTTTTCTTCTCCGATTACGATTACGATTCTTCATTTTCAGAAATGCTTATTTAGATTGAATTATGCTTTTTTTAGTAGATTAGTTCGGTTGATATCTGAAATTAAGAATTATTGGTGATTGGGAATTTAATTAGGGTTTTCCTGTGTCCGATTCAATTGAGAATTTTTTTTAGGGTTTCTGAAATTTAGGCTTACTTGAGCTGATTTTTGCTAGCTTGTGGTTTTATTACAGCAGAGAAATGGTGAAATCGGAGGAGGCAAAGAGAAGGGTAGCTTTTGTGCTGATTGATGGTTTGGGAGATGTATCACTGCCAATGTTTGGTAATAAAACTCCTCTGCAAGTAGCTAACCTACCTAATTTGGATGCTATTTCGTCGGCCGGAGTTAACGGGCTAATGGATCCAGTTGAAGTTGGATTAGCATGTGGAAGTGATACTGCACATCTTTCTCTATTGGGGTACGATCCTAGGGTTTATTATCGAGGACGAGGGGCGTTTGAGTCAATGGGTGCTGGTCTTGCAATGTCGCCTGGAGATATCGCGTTTAAGGTATTATTATGCATATCGATTTCGTTTGTTAAAGTTAGTAGTATACACTATCTTGTTATTTAGGGAATAATTTTGTGCAAATTCTTAACATGTTATCGTAATATGGTTGATTTCGCATGAAAATACTACGGTGCGTTTGGATTAAAGGATTTGAATCAATGGGTTTGAAAATAAAAAAAAATGAGAGCTAAGGATTTCTAATCTATTGTCAAGCGACTCAATCCAAACAAGCTGAATGGATTTTGTTGTTATGGATTTGAAAATCTCTCCCTCATATTGCTCATCCAAGTGCACCCTTATAAGTGGTTCGGATATCTTTTGGCATTTTGTACGAAGGTGAAATGATTGTGCCATGTAATTCCCCTTTTTGATTCTCCAAATAAAATATCGGCTTTTTTCGTACTATGTCAGTAATTCTTTATTAATTTACATTTTCTTTGTCTTGGACCTTTGATGTCTTGAAGAAAAAAAGTCTCGCATGTTGTTGTGTATCTCTCTTCTTAGATTTTTTTATTTATTTATAAATTATGTGATCTGTATCAACATCATTTATCGTTCCTAATTTTGGAAGTTCTTGGTTGCATGGTTGATTCTCAAAGTTGGCCTTTAATATTTAATTTCATTTTCCAGTCGAACTTCGCAACTCTAGATGAGAAAACTGGAGTAGTTACAAGCAGAAGGGCCGATAGGCATTTTGAAGAAGAAGGGCCTATTCTTTGTGCCGCACTGGACCAAATGAAACTGCCCAATTTTCCTCAATACGAAGTTAGAGTCAGGTGCAATTTTTTTGCTCCATCAAGTGATGAATTTTATTTTAATTGTAAGATAATGCAATATCGTAGACTTTATAGTACTATCATGTAATAAATCCATCTCCTTTTCTAGGTATGCAACGGAGCATAGATGTGGGGTAGTTGTGAAAGGACCAAAGTTAAGTGGAAACATATCTGGAACGGACCCATTGAAGGATAATCGTTTGCTTTTACAAGTTCAACCCCTCGATGATTCTGAAGAGGCAAAGAACACAGCTGCAGTTGTGAACGAGTTATCAAAGGAGATATCTCGTATTTTAGTCGATCATCCTATTAATGAAACAAGGGCAGCACAAGGAAAAACTATTGCCAATGTTGTCCTTTTACGAGGTTGTGGGATTCGAATTGAGGTAATACTTCTTTTGTTTGGCATAGGTAAATAGTAAATACCCTCTACTCTATCATTTGAGGAATATAACTAGGGTTGAAATCGAACGGATTGGATAGGAATCAGCACTTTCGGAAAATCCCTATTTTTTTTTTGCGGAAGTCAAACTATTTCCAGTTCCGTTCCTAGAAAAAATCGAAACACAATCGGGAATCTGAATTTCAGAAATTGGAATAAAAAGACTAATTCCAAAATCGGAAATTTTTGGATCAGAATAGTTGGAATTAATTCGTAAAATTCCAATTTTCAGTAACCTAAAATGTAAAATACATAATAAATTTGATATTATACATGTAATTTTCGGAAATAAATCACAATTTTTGGTATTATTTTCTGAAATTAAAATCGGATCGGGAAATCGGAATCTCATATATATTCCAATTCCAAACAAGAAAAACTGGAAATTCCAGAAATCAAATTTTTGCAATTCGAAATGAAAAGTATTGGTCCCAAATTTGCAAAATCGGCGGAAATCGGAAATTTCGTTCCAATTTCCACCCTTAGTTTTAACTATAGGAGTTCGTTTTTCTAATTTAAAAAATCTGTACTTTATATATTTGAGAGAAACTGAAAATTAAATTATCCGTAGGTGCCCGAGTTTGAAAAGTTGCACGGGTTAAGGCCATGTATGGTTGCTCCAACAAAGATTATAGCAGGTTTGGGTTTATCTCTTGGTATCGATATTCTAGAAGCTTCCGGAGCAACGGGAGATTACAGAACTCTTTTAACATCGAAAGCAACTGCAATAGCAAGTGCACTCTCAGCTCCTTTCAAGTCATGCCCTAATGTCTTTGTACCTGGTGAAGATGAACATAAACCTGGCCCTTCTGATGGCTATGATTTCGGTTTCCTTCACATTAAGGTGACCATATTACAAAAATGCCCCCATTCTATTTTGTCACCTAAATTACAATTATTTTCATGCTCGAATCCTTCAAAATTCGTTAATTGTAATTATGTATAATGCAGGCAATAGATGATGCTGGTCATGATAAAGCGAGCATCTTCAAAGCAAAAGGATTAGAAGCTGTTGATCGAGCAATAGGACAGCTGGCGAAGCTGCTTTGGCAAGCGGAGACAGGTGGCGATTTTCAGTACTACATTTGTGTAACCGGTGATCATTCTACTCCGGTCGAATATGGGGACCACAGCTTCGAACCGGTCCCTTTCGCACTTTGTCGTTTGAAGGACTTTGTCGGTGCAGTTGGTGGGGAATCACGGCTTCTGGAAACTTCTCTCGACCCGTTTCCACTTCCAAAGGTCGAACCCGGGGAGAACCTTCTGGATGGTTCTAGAATTCAAGAAGAGAAGAAACGGGCTTTTAGAGGTGACGGTGTTTCCGAGTTTAACGAGGTAGCTGCAGCCAGAGGGTTTCTTGGGAGATTCGGTGGGAGTGAAATGATGGGCATTATAAAGACATTTCTTCAGGTCTAACTTAAAGCTGCTTTGATTTTTTTTTTTTTTTAATATTTTTTTTATGTAACTCTTGTTTCTAATTGTGCATTTGAGGTTCTGTTATACACTGTTCTTTGTCTTAAAGGTTAATTAGAATAAAACTTTGGATGCTGTTCAGGCATTAAAGAAAAATGATATCAATTAATATTTCCGGTCTGAATCGTGTATGCAATATTTGGTGACGGAAAAAAAAAATATTGCGAAATTGTAATATCTTATGAGGGTTGTTTTTGTCATTAGCAAAAAGAAAATTACCCAAATACCTTCCATATTTGGGTAATTATAATCATTTCTCGACTATGAATCTTCTTAGACGTCTATCTTATGGTGTCAAATTAAATATAATCTTCTACATTATGTGAAATATTCTATAGTGTGTACTTGTTTTATACAAAAATACAGTTTTTGATGCATCACAATCTGATATTTACAAGGTAAGAGACACATCTTATTATCATCTCGTTTTAAAATGCGAAGCTCGAATGGGGTAGAACGAGTATAAACTAAAAAATATTGCACATGATCTAGAAAAATTCTAGTAAATTTGACATTGCGAGGGTGTAAGTGTAGAATATTCATAGTTGCGAGAGTATTTATAATTACCCAAACATAAGGGATTTTTTCGTAATTTAATCTTACTCGGGGCTGGCCGTAACTTATCCTTAAAAAAATTAACAGCAGCAAATTGTTACCTAACACTTGTTTAAAAAGAAAAAAAATTGTAATTCAACATTTTTCAGCATGTCGAGGACTGAAAACGACGCCGTGTCAAATGAACCGACCAGGAAACACGAAAACGGAAAACCCTGTCTGCGCTAACTGTCCAAACTCAAGTCTATATTTTCATCCCCACCCAAAAAAAAACAAATTGAAATTAAATCAAACGCCTGCAGCCTACATTTCTAACACCCGTCAGAAATTATTGCGGCGGAGCAATTTTTCCGGCCATGGCAAGCGGTGGCAGCAGTCCGATTCCGGTGATCGACGTGCAGGATTTCCCGGCGGAGTCCGAAAAGCTGATCGGCGCGTGCGAAGAATGGGGGTGTTTCAGGATCGTGAATTTCCAGAAAGTTCTCCCGGAATCGCTGATGCAGGAGATGAAGGCAGTGGTGAGATCTCTGTTCGAACAGCCGACGGAAATCAAAACGAGAAACCAGGCCGTAATCGCCGGCAGCGGTTATATGGCGCCGTCGAAAATCAATCCTCTGTATGAGGCTCTAGGGCTATACGATACATCCTCCCCTGAAGCCGTTGATACCTTCTGCTCAAACTTAGATGCAACTTCTCACCAAAGGTTCTAATTCCAATCCCCCCCCCCCCCCTTTCTCTCTCTCTCTCTCTCTCTCTCTCTCTCTCTCTAATTAACTTTCTCTCTCTCTAATTAGCTCTATCTCTCTCTCTCTCTAATTAACTTTCTCTCTCTCTAATTAGCTCTATCTCTCTCTCTCTCTAATTAACTTTCTCTCTCTAATTAGCTATCTCTCTAATTAACTTTCTCTCTCTCTCTCTCTCTCTAATTAGCTCTATCTCTCTCTAATTAACTTTCTCTCTCTCTCTCTCTCTCTAATTAGCTATCTCTCTCTCTCTAATTAACTTTCTCTCTCTCTAATTAATTCTTAATTACGTTATAATGGTGTGATTATAATCAGGGGAGTGATCTTAAAGTATGCGAAAGCAGTGAATGAGCTGATGATGGATATCGGCCGTAAGATTGGGCAAGGGCTAGGGATCAACGGTCCGATTTCGTTTGAGGATTGGGCTTGCCAATTCAGGATCAACAAATACAGTTTCACCACTGAAACTGTAGGCACCGCAGGAGTGCAACTGCACACAGACTCTAGCTTCCTGACTATTCTGCAGGATGATGAAATCGTTGGTGGGCTTGAAGTGATGAAAAGATCTGGTGAATTTCAGGCCGTTGATCCTTCCCCCGGTACACTTGTTGTTAATCTTGGAGATATTGCACCGGTAAGTGAAAATTCTTCAACTAATATATATATATATATATATATATATATATATATATATATATATATATATGGATTTGAAAATTTAGTTACACTTTTCTTGAAATTTGGTTACGACGAGGGGTGGAAATCTAATGGATTAGACTGATATCAATATTTTCGGGTATTTGAATTGTTGTAAGTAAAAAATTAATTCCAATTTAGTTCCGAAAAAAATCTTAAAATCGAGAATCCTTGTTTTGAAAATGGAAACGAAAAAACTTGTTCCAAAATCAGAAATTTTCATATTGAAATCGATGAAATTCGACTTTTTGTTTTCTCCTTATTTACATATAATAATAAAATATTGCTATTGTAAATGTAATTTGGTAATAAAAAAATTGGAAATTTTGGTTATCGATATTGGAGTCTCGTTTATAATTCCAAGTCGGAAAAAAAATTCAAAATTTTGAAAATTGGAATGTGTAATATTTTTCAAAATAAAAAATTTCCGAATCCTGCTCCGATTTCCACCTCCTAGTTTCAACCGAAAATCCAACCTTTAGGTTTGAATAATTCGTCGAATTCGAGTAATTTCAGGGAAGTAATTCAATTTACTCTTAATATTCATCTTATGAGTCTAATTAATTATATATATGTTTGCATTACAAAAGGTGTGGAGCAATGGGAGATTCTTGAATGTGAAACACAGAGTGATGTGCAAGGAAGCAGGGGCAAGATTGTCAATTGCTTCATTTCTATTAGGACCAAAGGAGGGTATGGTTGAAGCGCCGCCGGAGCTCGTCGATTCCAAACATCCTCGTACGTTCGCTCCTTTCACATATAACGATTATAGGAGTCTCCGAATATCTAATAGCTTACACACCGGTGAAACCCTTGATTTGTTTTCGAATTCGGTCGCAAGTGTTTAAGCATCCGGTTATTTGGCCTAAGTGACAAAATAAATAAAATTAGCCCTATATGGGGTGTGAAAAATATGTACCATTGTACCAATTAAACATGTACAATAAAATAAAATTAGCCCTATATGGGGTGTGAAAAATATGTACCATTAATACAATTAAACATGTACCATTAAAATTAGCCCTATATGGGGTGGGACAATCTTCAATTACAATTAATACATAATTAAGTAGTATGTTTGATCTTTCACTTGTCAAGATACTATGAATCTTACAAATTGGTGAAACATTCTATTGTTTTGGATACATTTTGATATGAATTATGCCTTTAATATTAGTTTTGAAAAGTTTTAAGTAAATTCATGCCTTTGACTTGATTTAAAAATTAGGGTAAATTATGAAAAATCGTCTAATGTTTGGGTAATTACAATCACCTTCCTCAACTATGAATCTTCTTACACGTCCATCTTTATGATGTCAAATTCAACAAAATCTTGTAAATTTCGTGAAATGTTCTCTAGTTTATCCAAAAATGCAGTTTTTAATGCATAACAATCTGATATTTATAAGCCAATAGACATATTTTATGATCATCCAGTTTCATAATGTGGAGTTCGAACGAGGTAAAACGGATATAAACTGAAGAATATTCTAGATAATGTAAAAAATTCCACTAAATTTGACACCGTAAGAGCAGGCGTGTAAGAAGATTCATAATTAATGAGTGGTTGTAATTACCCAGAGAAAATGAGTTTTTCGTAATTTGACATTAGATCGTAATTTACTCATAAAAAATAGGGGAAACTACAGATAAATCCCTAATCCAAAACTCAAAACACAGATCAGTCCCTGGGTAGTTTCCCCAAGCAATTCAGTCCCTATTCACGCGTCTGACATGCAGATCAGTCCCTAATGTGAATTTTATATATTTTATTATATTTTCTCTTCACTCTCACCCTTTTCTCTCTCCTGCTTTTCTCTCTCTTCATCTTCTCTTTCTTTCTTCTCTCTCTTCATTTCTATCTGCTCTCTTTCTTCTCTATTTCTTCTCCATTTCTCTCCTCTGGTTTCCTCTTTTTCCGGCGAAAAAATCACTGTAAAACCCACAATGGCTACAAATGATGTATCTAATGATGCACCCACTGTGATTCTTGGAAGTTGTCGATACAAAAATCAACTTCACATTATTTCCATAAAAAGTAATTCGACCATAATGGAGATATATGGTGCTATTATCAACAAATGGAATCATATCCATCCAGATGCACTGATCCTCCAATACTTGGCTCCTCGGGAAAGATTGTATGTGACATTGGGCAGTGATGAAGATGTGGAGAATATGGTTGCATTGCATCTGATAATGAAGATGAGTGTGGTCGACATTGTCGTGATCCGCAAAGATGAAGCTAATTCGCGTGGAAAGAGGGTTCGCACCGATGGCTCGTAGGTCTCCATCTTTTTCTGTACTGCTGAAATGCATTTCTTTATGGTTGTTAATTATTGTGTGATATATAGTATAAAATATGGCACATAATAGTATCATGCTAATATAAATATGGTATGGACGTATCGTACTTACAGTACGTAACCTTCATCTGAGTAGTATGGGTGATAGGTAATGAAACACGTTGTTATAAAGTGTTTTTAACTCTCTTACTTTCAAACTAAATTTTAGTTATTACTTAGTGGCCTAAGTGTTATGACTTAGTGGGCTAAGTAGTGATTAGTGGGTTTAATTGTGGGTTTTATTCTAACTTCCTAACTAACCCACTAACCCATTATCTTGAGTGCTCTTGTGGTTGGTTTTCTTGCAGATCATGGGCTGAGGAGTGGAAGCTTGGCAAGTCTATAAATACCAAACTCAAGACTCAAGATTGATACAGATTTCGAGGAAACCAAAATAGAGCTGAAGTTTTAATCTCGAGAATTTTAGTGTGTTTTCTAGGATCTGTTGTACGTACTCATTATGAGTACATTCTTTGAAATCTAGAATTTTTAATATTTTTCTTTTAGTATCTAGATTTGATTGTAAGAATGGTCTTGAAAAAGATTCATTCATAAGGAAGAAGTTTTCGCACCTCTTCTGTTTGTATTCTTAGAATACTGTTTTTAATATATTTTTCCGTCCTGTAAAGGGCAAGTTCACAAGTCTTTACTTGTGAACATTTTTACTTCTGAGTGTTTGTCTTTTAATCTTTATATTTCCGCTGCATGTTGTCTCAAGTGTCATAACATTTTAGATAACATCTCTGTATAATACGAATTCGGGACCATAAATTCTTTCAATTGGCATCAAGAGCCAACACTTGACGTATACTAAGTGTTTGTTCCTATTTTTCTTTACAGAAACGAATTCGTGATGGATACTCAGATGACTGCTTCTATGCGACCTCCTGTACTTGATGGCACGAACTACACCTACTGGAAAGTCAAGATGAGGGCGTACATCAAAGCCATTGATGAGAGAGCATGTAGATCTATTCTCACTGGATGGAAGCCACCAACTATCACAGATGTGGACGGAGATGTTTTTCCAACTCCAGAATTACGGTGGACACCAGACGATCTATCAAATGCTAACCAAAACTCAAAGGCGTTAAATGCAATTTTCAATTCAGTAGATTTAACAATGTTTAAATTAATCTCTGTATGCACTTCTGCGAAGGATGCTTGGGAAGTTCTTCAGCTACATTGTGAGGGATCAGATAGTGTCAGAAGAACCAAGCTCAGATTACTCTCTTCCAAATTTGAGAGACTGAGAATGGAGGAAACTGAAACAATTTCTCAGTACAATAAGAAGTTGATTGATTTGGCTAATGAATTTCAATCCTTAGGTGGTCCTTTGAGCAACGAGACACTAGTGAATAAGGTATTGAGAACTCTTCCAGAAAGGTTCAGCATGACGGTTACTGCTATTGAGGAGGCTAAAGATACATCATCTCTACGGCTGGACGAATTAATTGGAAGTCTCAAGTCCAGAGAGATGAACTTCGAAGATCAAAGAAAGGAGAAAGGAAAGGCTATCTCAAATGCACTCCAGGCAGAATTAGAGAAGGAAGATGTTGCTCCGGAATATGATGATGATGCAGAAGAATGCCTCAACAATGTGGCATTTCAGATTCAGAAATTCAATAGGGCGTACAGACGAAGTGGAATCAAGCCCAGGCAGTTATTTTCAGAAGGGTCTCCACAAAATCGACAAACTCAGCCCCGGAACAGATCTATTCCACAGAGAACATTTCCTCAAACACCTTCTCAAAACAATTTAAAAAATTCTTCTTTTATTCGTTCAAATTCTGAACCACCTAACTTGGATCATATTAAATGCAGGGCCTGTTCAGGATTTGGACATTATGCTAATGAATGTGCAAATACCTTGAGAAGGAGAGGAATGAGTTTGATTTGTGCTGTCAGTGATGAGGAGGAAGAACAACCTGAACAGACAGAGGAACAACAATCCTCTAAACAAGCTCTTTCTGTCAGATATCTTACTGGAAGTTCCTCTGAAACAGAATCCCAAGGAGTCTCCCTGGATGCTGCAACACTTTCTGAAACGCTTTCAGTTTGTGAGTTAAATACTGATCATTATACATGTTTAAACTCTATTTCTGTGAATGCAGCAGAATCCAGTAATGAAGCAGTCAGTGATGATGAAGAAATGTGTAAAAAGCTGATCAGAAACTTGGAGAAGAAGACTCAAGCTCTAGATGCAGCCAACAAGGAAAATTCCTCCCTCAAAGAAACAATCACACATTTGGAGGTTGGAATCACAGAGGATCTTGGACTACTGGCAAAGGTGA